TCTTTCCACTTCCTGTACATGTCTTTTTTATTTTCAGGTCCTCCCACAGCTTTTTGTGAAGCCACACTGGCCTTTTTTTGGCATCTCCCACCTTTTTTTTCCTTGTTGGAATTATTTGCAGTTGTGTTTTTTCGAATTTCTTTTTTTAGAAACTCCCACCCTTCTTGGACTCCTTTAGGACCTGACTCATCGGATGTGTGTGACTACGACTCTGCTTTGTTTCCTTTTGAGATCGAGATGGTCACTAAGTCAAGTCAAAAATAGCTAGTCCTCTAATTTCTCTCTCCACATTTTGTAGGAGACGCCTGCTTCTTGGGAAGCCTCACAATGATCAGCCTCACAAGCCAGGAATTTCTTGGAAGGGCCAGACTTGGCAGAATTTGCCTCCCAACATATATCTGGATAACTGAAATCTCCCATCCCTACTATGTTGTGTCTCTTTGAAATCCATGCAATTTGTTTTTTTCAAAAATTTCATCCACTTTATCTCTTTGATTGGGCGGCTGGTAGTAGACTCTAACTACCATACTCCTTTTGTTTCTTTGCCCCTACTGCATTGATCCACATGTTCTCAGTGGGAGAGCCAATCCCCTCCTCCTGTGTTTCATTCCAGGAATGTGTATTTTTGACATACACTGGAAGTCCACTTCCCTTTCTATTCTCTCTGTTCTGGAGACAGTAGGAAAGCAATCCAGTAGAGGGTGGGTAGATATAGTGACATAGATGGAATTCACTGAAATAGCTTAAAGAGAAGTAACTACTCTTGCACGTATTTACTCAATTTCCAGTGTTTTGCTTCTCATCTTGAAGGCGAAACCTTCAATCAGGACGGATAGAAGAAATTTGCCCTCTTGGCAGGCTTACTAGATCTGAAGGCAAACCAGAACACACATTCATTTCAAAATCTACCTTCTTTCAAAATGTGATGTAGTTCACCTGTGCATGCGCACGCACACACGCACACATGCACACACACACACACAGAAAGAGAAAATGATGTGTACAAGAAGTTTAATTTTAAAGTCTGCATTAAAAATGTACATATTTCAATTCATGCTTTCAAAAGCATTTCACAAAATGGAACTGCCTTTTTTTCGGAGAGGGGAGTGTACATTTTTAAAAGTGCCAAAACATGTATTTTTCCCCTCACACATGCATCTATTTATGGGGGGGAGGGTGACAGATGCACAGATGGAATAATAGTAGCAATACTATTAATAATAATTTGCAATGTCTTATATAAATGGAATGGAGCAAGTTTAACACTGGGTAGAAAATGAAAATATGAGGAAGATTAATTTCGATAGATCTTTCCTGTCTCTAAGGTAGCACAGTATAAATTTTAAGTTTTCAGTTCAGTTCTTGTTCCAAACATCCATGTGAAACAACCAGGGAAGGAATCATTTGGCCTGAAAGAAAGAAAGCAAGGAAGGAAGGAAGGAAGGAAGGAAGGAAGGAAGGAAGGAAGGAAGGAAGGAAGGAAGGAAGGAATGAATGAATGAATGAATGAATGAATGAGGTTTTGTTGTGTTCAAATATAAAACAGAGATGCCACTTCCAAACCTTTTTGAGAGGGGGAAACATAAAAAAAACTTGTAAGAAATAAAACAAGTGTTCCCTCCGAATAAGGCAAGAGCGAACGAATGGCCCGAGATCTATTTGTTTATGTAAGGTTTGCTGATGCTAATTGAAGCAAATTGGTGACATGTCCACAAACGTGCCAGTCGCATGCCTGGGCAATTTCATAACTCGGATGAGCTCCAGCACCTCTTCAGTTAGCCACAGTGAGCTGACATAAAGACGGAAAGGATTCCAGCTGGAACATTACGACAGCATTGCGTTTCACATGGACACACAAATTAGCTTATTCGGTCAAAATCTCTAGCTGAGAAAAACGAGTCCGTGGGTTCTCTGCAGGTGGTCAGAAGATGCGGAAGCTGGATTTTTTTTTTTCAGAAGCCACATCCTGTGTCGATTCTGGCACATGTCCCATTTGGAGGTGAGTTTCCTTTCAGTTCTAAATCCCTGGGCAAGACTGCAGCATCGCTTCCTTGCTAAAGCAGCAGGCGTCACACCTCCTTGGAGGTCGGTCCCCTGGCGCTCAAGGAAAACTGTCCCTTTTGAGCGCCTAGGACTGAACGGCCAGTGTACAAAAGTGACGGGCCTGATCCAACCCAAAGAAAGCCCCTTTGAATCCCATTGATTTCAGAAGGAGGAAGTTCTCGTATCTGTACAAGACTCATTTGGCAAATGCAGATTCATCACCTCCGCCACGCAATCTATCTCAGATAGAGATAGAGAACAGATACAGAACTGCACTGTGGATTTTCCCCCATTGCAATCAATGGGACCTCTGAGTGATTCATATTTTCATGGCCAACTTTCATATTTACTCATCTGGTGTGCGTAGAAGAACACAGGAGCCGAGGGTCTCTTTCAGCCTGCCCTTCTCAACCCTCCACTTTCTCTGTCAGTTCAGTCTATCTTTGGATGGCTTTTTTCATTCGTTGGGGAGCAAAAGGATGTTCTGGTTTGGGGTTTTCTACATCCCAAGCGAATCCGTAGTCAAACAAAGAAACACACAACGGACAATAAGTCTTCCAGCGGAGAGGCAATGGAAGACTTCGTGGTCCCTTCTTATAGAGCTGGATTTTGAATATATAAAATGGCCAGGGGGTTCAAATTAAGGACATTTTCCAGCTATTGTCCCAAGGAAGGGGCACTTCCAGTCTTCGCCCATGTACTTGAAGGCGCCCAAGACATTGCTTGAAGGGATATTGTCTGCGTCTAGGTAGGTGAAGGGGGAGATCTCCACTGAGACCCGAGACCCTTCATTCAGTTCCATCATAAGGACGGCAAAGATGTCATGGTTTACCCCGACAATGGTCTCCCGAGAGCTGCACAGAGTGAGCACCGTCTCTTTCATGGGGACGTTGTTGACCAGCAGCCTCAGGCTGAGATCGATCACAGAGCTTTCGCACTTGGGAACGAAATACTGCAAGTGGCAATAGATGAAGTAGGTGCCGGGACTCTGGATCACCAAGTTTCCCTCGTCGTACCGGATGTTGTAGAGGAGCCCATCTTTGTTCCACCTCAGTTGGGACTGGTTGATCGGCTTTAACACTGGAAGAGGAGGAGGAGAGAACATATTTTTCATTCCAGAGGACACAGTAAACGTCTCAGCTGAGAGACAACAGACAAAGGACCATCAAGTCAATTCTGACTTGGAGGGTTTCCAAGGCTTGGGAGCTATTTCAGCACAGTCTTTACTAGAGGCACCCCTCCAACCAGTTTCTGTGGCTGAGCTTTAGAGAACTGAAGCCAGGTCTCCTGAGTTCGATACTCTCTCCATGACGCAACGCTGGCTTGCAGGCCCAATTATGTCACAAGTCAAAACTGAGAAACCCATCACAGAAACAACAACAACAACAACAACAACAACAACAACAACAACAACAACAACAACAACAACAACAACAAACAACAACAACAGCAGCAGCAGCAGCAGCAACAACAACAACAACAACAACAACAACAACAGCAACAACAGCAACAACAACAACAAGTCGGGCAGAAGCCAAGGGGACATCTTACATCCCAGGCTGCATAGACATTTTAATTCACAAAGCACATCCATGGGATAAATCCCACTAAAATGGAAACCACCTGTAACAAGAAGCACCTGATGCTGTATATTAATTTTGCTGGTTCCCAGTTGTATCATTGTTAGACCATTTTTAAAAAATGCCTCTTATACAGAATGATGCGCTTGAGTGAATAGCATACATCAAAGTAACAGAAGTCTTTTTTTGCATTAACTGTATGCTTGCGATTTGAATGTTAATGATTAATATAATGGCAACTAAATTTGTCTGCAAGGGGCGTGGTGCTGCAGGTTAAGCCACAGAAGCCTCTGTGCTACAAGGTCAGAAGACCAGCAGTCGTAAGATCGAATCCACGTGACAGAGAGAGCTCCCGTCGCTTGTCCCAGCTCCTGCCAACCTAGCC